GCATAATGGTGTCTTGATTTGCCAGTATCAAAGAGCGAGTGGCAGGCAAGCACCATTAAGTATACACAAACATCAACTGAAACCATAATAAACTAAAACAAATAAACTAATCACGTTCCATTACATAAAATGTCCTCGAGGGAAGCATTATTGCAAAATAAGTCTAAAAGTACAACAAATCGCATATGCGATTGAATAAATGGCGCACACCGAAGTCAGGAAATACTCTTATTTGCCTCGTAGGTACAGGAATAGCAGCAGTGTCCTTCTTTGGCCTTGAAAATATTTTTAGGAAATAAAACTGCTGAGATGTCGTCATCAGAAACATTGTTATGAAATTCAAACAATTAAAATCAAATCATAATGATTTTAAATATTAATCTGAAGAAACCATGACTAAATTATAAAATACTCTTTTTGTAGGTTGTTGTTAGGTTGCTTAGGATCAGTTAACGTAAGACTATTTTAAAACTACGACAGCTTTCATATCGCCACCAAAAACTTTCATAAAATTAACTTAACTTTGTAGGGGTTAATTAATTTGTTTCAGACTTATCCTACGGAACGTTACATTTCTTGTGAAATTTTATATAATTTCTCTTGTAGACTGATATTTGCTGTATTAACGATGTACATTGGTCTACATCCAGACGTATTACGACTAAGAACCAGTAAACAGTTTTACCATCGTTGATTTAATCAAGATTTTTATGGTAGAACAAACGAGTTTGTCAGTGAACTAAGATTTACGTTCAGACTTATATTTACAGTCTAATTACGTCACGAGGAAGGTCAAGCAAAATAACATAAAAATGATTTTTTTTGTAACTTCTTTTGCTACACGAGTAGTTGAAAGCGTCAGTAGCAGCTGCATAAAGGAATATTCTTCCTATACGTAATGAAGTCATTTATTAGCCGCCTTCGATTTGAAGAAGAAACTCATTTTGGTTTCTGGGCGCGTCGTGTTAGGCAGAGTTGTTCCTTGAATATTGATCACTTCACATTAATCAAATGCAAATCCACGTTTGGTCGCGCTTATTTGACGCCTTTGCATGCTTAAGAAACGTGTAGGCTAACATTTCATATAAACTAAGAATTGACGTGCATAAGATACGATCTTGGGAAATGCGTTTGTGGCGTGGAGGAGCTCTGCGCAGGGACTCAGAACAGCACAGAAAATCAAAGTTTCTTGTATTTTTAGTGCCTCGTTTCCATTGGTTTATTCCCAGTTGGGTTTACAAAGTTTTGTCTGATTCAGGTAGCCTGATAATGAATTACGAATCGGAAAAAATGTAGCAGGAAAACATTCCTACCACAATGCATGAACGATTCTTGGGTTGTTTTAGGACTATATTTTAGCTGTACAGGATATGTGGAGTCAAATAATATGAGAATATCATGAATATTCCATTGAAAAGGACTTCATAGGAGAAATTAGTGATCTTTTCGACTATACTGTAAGAGCATTTACCGGAGATACTGTGGAACACCACGAGAAACCTCAGTCAAAATAGCAGTTTTGCAGCTAAGATTCTAACCCGAATTTTATTTCGACCCGTTTCCGCTGTGATAATTTTGAGTGGTTTTGATGAAATGTTATTCAAGGAAATATGATATCTTGGAAATTCTATCATGACTAAGCATTCATGCGCAAGGATCGAACTATGGGCCGGAATATAGAGAGTGATACAGGATAACAGAATTTTTGTTTGTACGAACAAAGAAATAATAAGCAACAGTGAAGAAACAGCATATAGCAGCTGCACAAGTAAATTAACTTGTTCTTGAAATGTTACTCATCTCCTGTACACGTTACGCATTCTGTAGTATTAAATTTGTTTTTCTGTCAAACAGAAATAGCCGATTGATACATAAAATCTTCAACACCTGTTTTAGGGTAATGCCCTAACTTTAGTTAGGAGGGAATGGCAGATTTATTGTCACGTTATTTAATGTTGCTTCGACTGTGTAGCCTCTGAGAGATGGAAAATAATCACGAATGGTTGTGGGAAGGATTTTAAACAGAAGACCATGGCCAATTTGAAATTACCTTTTAAATATTTGTCTGGAGACCGCAGATAATAGTCGATAACCCGGCTTAGGTAAGAATCGGGATCTTGTGAATACAAAACATGTGTCGTCATTCTGCTCGTTGGAACTGAGAAATAAAAAAAAAACATTTCCAGATCGCATTCCATTGAATGCCAAGTAAGTTTTCTTATCCAGTCAGTATACTAGGTTATTCATAATTCCCTGACACATTGCAAAATATTACCAGACTTTAATGGTTTCAAAGGATGGTAACATGCTACACGCCGATAGAAAGAGAAACTCTCCAAGTTTCGTTAAAAAACTGATTTTCTTCGACGAAGCTACGTTTCACGTTTATGGGAAGGTGAACAGACACAATGTGCGGGTATGGGGAAGTGAAAACCCAAACGCCACAATTGAGAACATTCGGGATTCACCGAAACTGAACGTTTTCTGGGTCATATCCAAAGAGAAGGTGTACGGGCCATTCTTCTTCGCCGAGGCAACCGTCACTGGCACGTCCTATCATGAGATGATGCAGCAATGGCTAATGCCACAGCTTCATGATCACAGCGATGACTTCATTCATCAGCAAGATGGGGCTCCGCCACACTACCGCCCGCGTCTACCTCAATCGGCATTTGCCACAGAGTTGGAGCGGACACGTGGCTGCCAATGACCATGCGCTGCTTCGTTGGCCACCTCGATTACCTGACCTGACGCCATGCGATTTTTTTCTTATGGGGGTACGTTAAGGACCAGGTCTCTGTACCGCCTCTGCCACGGGATCTGCCTGAGCTGCGAAGACGAATCATGGCTGATATGTCACAAATCGATCGTGACATGCTGCAACGGGTATAGGCGGAAATGGATTGTCGGCTTGACGTCTGCCGCGTCACAAAGGGCAGACACATCGAGCATTTATAAGAGATGTAAAATAAACTTAGACAGTTTCTCTTCCTATCGGCATGTCCTATATTATCATCCATTGCACCATTCAAGTCTAGCGATTTTTTGTAATGTGTCAGGGAATTATGAATAACCCTGTGTTATACTAAATAACAGATTATAAGAGTTAACAAAAAACAGAGAACATTCTTACATTTACTACATTAACCTTCACTTAGTGCGATATCTGATCAGACGTCACTAATTTAGTGCAGATGTAATAACTGATTCCGTATCTTCCTCGTAATGGCGTGCCAGCAAAAATTATCTTGCGTGTTACTTATGTCACGCGTATCAATAATTTGCTTTCAATGTTTGGAACGTGTCATTGGGAGGGGGGGGGGGGGGGGGGGGGGTATAACTGTAGATGCGAGGATAATAGGCCTATCAAAACGTAATAGAATGTGAACTGAACTGTGCTCTCAGAGGCTTAGCCGAATAATGGGTTTTTATGGTGACTTAACTTTGGCTTTGTAACAGAGTTTCCCTTGACCAGCCCAGGTATCAGCTAAGCAAGACACTAATCTGTGGATATTGTTTAGTTAATTTCAGACTGCTGTGGAATGGAAGTGTATCTGACAGATAGCAGTTAGACACGCTGTAAATTAAACATGACACCGGAATATGATCCTGTGTTTTCGCTGATAAAAGGAAGATGTGTTGGGGCTACATACCGCTCTTTGTGGTGTTGCTTGAGGCTGCACTAAGAGACTGTCATGTTGAATGTCATTGAGTTTAAATGACACGCAGGAAATATACAAGTTTCTGTTGATACAATCTTACGTTATGCCTAATATAACTCTGTCGTGCAGAAGTCGCTATGTGAATCACAATAAAATTAGAAACGCATATAATTTGACTTACGTTACATAGCCGATTACTTTCTCGGTATGTAATGTGACCGGCATATATTCGAATAATGTGGAACAAGTGCTAGCCAGATACGTGAAGAGACAACGTCGAGATGTGGTACATAAAGTTCTGACATTCTAATCTGACGCATCTGTTTCAAATCCCGATTGAGAACTTCTCAAGTAACGTATCATGATAATGGAATTTAATATTTTAAAATAGTGCACGGCCACTTCTTTTACACAGCCTCATGTTGACACGTTGAAAATTTGTGTAACAAGAAGCGTATTGATTTGTTACAAAATAATTATATAAATTTTATTATTCAGTGCCCAAGTACATTTCTTAATGTAGGATTATTTATGTAATTAAATCTTAATTATGAATAGATATTTCTAGAATAAAAATTTACTTGGATATTATCCATCGTCTAGTAAATATAAAACGTAAAACGACGTTTCGGATATGGTACTCTATCTCCGTCTTCAGGTTCCTACACAGTTGGGCCCACTAGATAGAGCTAATCCCTATCCCATCTCCGAAACGTCGTTTTACGTTTTGTATTTACTAGACGATGGATAATATCCAAGTAAATTTTTATTCTATTGACTCTTCACCATCGTCAAGAAGTTTTAGATTTGAAATAGATATTTCTGTTTGTAGATATCTCGATAAATAAGATTGAAAAGCAAAACATGGTCTCCAATTCAAGAATAGTTACCACTCTGGTACCGAAACACCCTTAGCCGCACCCTGGGCCTAACAGACTGAATCAGAAGTGCCATTTGGTGGAGACTAGTGTTTTGTAAACTGAAACTTTAAAAGAGGAAACAAATTTTTTGGCCCCTTCGTAGTGAGCGGGAGGGTGCCAAACTGATGCTATGGTGGGATCTTAGATTGGAGCGTTATTTCAAAATGCGTCACATACATTTTTGTAAGTATAATTAAATGAAACATTACGTAATATTTTGTATCGTAAGTACTATAAGATGACTCGTTAAAAGCGATAGAGAAAGGAAAGAGAGCGTAAGGTGGAAACAGCTTCAGTAAGTAATAGCAGTAATGGTAATGGAACAAAGTAGAACTGTACACCTAAATAACCAGAGTTTACATGAGAGGTACCACTTCTATATAACATTTAACTCAGTATATAACAAGCAACGTCTTAGTCTCTGTCCATAAAATACCAATTAACGAAACTTTATTGTTGACATTTTTTGTTACAAAACAAATGCAGAGGAGACATCTTGAAAGACAAAAAAGGCTACAGAATTAGAATTAGAATTAGTTTCTAGGTATACACTTTATTAAACAGTAGACTAGACACAGGATAATTTCCAAAGGCGAGCTTTATTGTTAGGGGCGTTAAACCTTCGGGTATCTTACCACTAGGCTTATATTTGTTAGCATAATCTGCAAGGCAAATATTCAGAGTCGATGCTGCACTGGGTTGTGACGTCGTGTGGACTCGTAGGTAATTACCAATGTTTTGGAGAAACGTACTTACTCCATTTGCATGGATGAAGTTGAAGACAATTTATTCCTGTGAAATGATGGGATCTACCTACTAGTCCATGTGGCGTCACAGAGTAGAAAGCATTTTTATTTTTACAGCCGCGAGAACCTGAAATATCAAAAATATTCAGAGGATTATTCAGGTTTTAACTTGAGTAGTTCTGATAGTAAAAAAATTACTCTGTTAACTACGTATGTACATGTTTTGACAACCAGTGACATGAACATAAATGAAATTAAAGTTATGTCTAAGCCTATAAACATATTACATATAGGCACAATGTTCAACTTGTAAGGTGTAATGACTCGATGATTATCACAAACTTTACAGAATAATTAACAAATTTCAAGGTACGATGTATTTATTGAGTAGTTTATATTTATGCAGATAATCAGAAAGGTCTAACCCGAAGTTCGTCCAGGGACTAATATATGTATTATCCTCCCATCTAGCGTTCTTCAGCCAAAATATTTTATGCATTCTTCTTTTTCCTGCGTACGCTCTATATCGCAAATAATTAAAAATCTGCATTGGGTAAGTTTTATCCACTCAGCTGCTCCTTGGTTACTCTAGGTGAAACAGGCTTTGCTGGGATATTGAAAACCAAAGTAATTTCGGTAACTGTGGCCAAAAAATGTATAGTAATGTCATGCTGTGAGCAGGTTTCCTGTAGAAAGCTGTAAAACGTATGGGATAATATACATACTGGCACGTATCTCGTAAGTCCGCTATAATTGCATGTCCCTTGTCGCTGGTTGGCTGCTTATTTCTAAGACCTCCCACCAAGACATCCGCTGCCTTTAGTCCATATGCTTGGAACTAACCTGAAATGTATAAACTATAGTAATGTTTCTGCTCACTCCTGGCTTTATTTCAGTGGCCAATATATGGGGGGAGACATATTTAAAGCAGTAGAGATTGACGGGTTTGATATTCTAGTTCACTCTTTCTTTATATTCGAGAGGTACCGTTTTCAAAACTCGGCTCAGACAAAGGCTGTCGTGATATCAGTCGCAATTTTTCTTACATCCTCTAGACAAATATCGGGATGGTTCCTTAAGGCAAGCCAAGTCTCCTTATTTTCGCGTTATATCCAGGTCATCACTCACAGTTATCCAACGCTGTATATCAAAAAAGTGCGAATAGCGTTGTTAAATAATCCTAAAATTACTTAGTCGATAATTACTTTTAATTAACCAATGACTGTAATTACTTACATGGACACAAAAATATTAGCTTCAAGGTAAGCTGCAATTTCCGTTATTGCATCATCTCCAATAATAGGATGTGCTCTATAATTGTCATCATCATCATTATCGTCATTATTCTTGCAGCAGTGCAAATGGGTTTGATTGATGGATAAGGGATGTGCAAAGTGTCTTAATAAATGTTTACAAATACACATACTATAGATATATAAGAAGTACGATAATTCTGAAGCCTGTGAAATATGTTGAATTGGTTCTATGTAAAACACAAAGAGGCCAATCTTATGTACTGCGACATCATAATTTTAACATTTTCGGTCTAACGGATAGTAGTCTATTGTTATTGATTTTCAATATTGAATGTTTGCTTAGATATTTATATAATTTGAGATCGAAGATTCTTTGGGGTTAACCGAGTGGAAAACAGGACGTACTGGAGTTAAGTAATATAGCTGAGTTGATTTTGGCGCTATATTTGCTTTGAAAGTTATCTCCTGTTAGGGTTATCTTTGTCATCTCCTGCTCTCACACTTTTCTTACGTCGTTGATATTATTATCAACCAAATGGCACAAACTGTCCTGATTTAATAGCTTCTGTGTTTGTGCATGTTTGTTCTCCTTTTCTCTCTTTTTTAACTCGTGCTTGGTCTGTAATTTGTGTTCGGGCTGTTACGTCAGCACTTAAATAAACAAAGAATTGAATTACTGTTTTATTATCAGGATTCTGGCAAGTTTTACTTGGACTGGATATGATCATCATTTCCGAGGCTGCATTCTGTTTGCTGTTACATTAATTAGTCAACCCATTGCTTCACTATGAGATGTCGCCAAAAAAGACACGAAGTTTTCAGCTCAGACGTCAGTAAATAATTTTTTACCAATGCCATGCTTTGTGTAAATTCCTTCAAAACTGCAACGAGTCGGAGTATACACTTTCAAACGACTTCAGGATGAATGATTAAAAAAAACATGCAGTCATAATATTTTCTCCACCCAAATCTGTTTTAACATACGAACCCGTGTAATATCCCTTTGTCTTACTGTGCTAGGACCCCTTATATTTCACGTCACTGGGATTTATGCGTGTTCTTTCAGTGTCCCTATTGATTGCAAACAATGTGTCGATAGTTCAGGAGATGCCAGAAAGAAGTATTATATGGATAAGTGCTCGGGGCATCCTGCATTAACATTGTGTGGGCAGTACATTAGCATTTAAGAAAGAAGGGGGGCATATTTTTGCATAGAATATAAAGGCATAAATCAGGCGTAATTTGTATTTAGTTTCTAGTTACTTTTTGCAGTTAAATACAATAATATTGATAAGCCATTGTATCTGGCATGTAAAATTTAGTGTGATGATAAATTATACACATAGAATACTATCTACATGTATGTTAAAGCATTTATAGTGTTGTGCTTCTGGGTTATGACGCCGTGCAAACTAGTAGTTCGATGCCAAATTTCAGAGAATCATTCTGTATTAATCTTATATAGCCTTTAAGAAGTTTCTCTGAAACTTTGGTATCAAACTATGATTTCACACGGCATAAAAGAGCAAGAGATTATTATCACCTCCACGAAAACCTCAAATAACACGTATTATAGCACTCTTTCGTGCAATATAATGTGACAACATTGACCAAGTCAAGGCTATTGTAGGCTATTGAGGTAACTTTCTGTTACCAATAATACGTTGCTTTTCTTCCCTGGGAGTAAAGCGATCGAGGCACATCTTCGTATACTGTCAAGTTTCAAAATGTGTTGTCCTAAATCTCGTTCAGAGACTGGCTTTTATGTTCTAGTACCGGAAAATTTGTTAGACCCATAGATTATACGCCTATATTTTCGAGTAAATATGCTGTAAATAACACCTAAAATTTTATTTTGAGACTTCTGTGCTGGTCACCCTTAGCTTTGTAGCTTGTTGTATCGTAAATTAGTAGATCGTACATTAAACTACATGTTATCCTGCGGGCGTTGTAATATTAAAATATCGCAATATTTATAAACGTTATTATAAACCTATATTTGATGATCTTTGCTCGCTTCACAACTGTAATCTCTAGCCAGAGCTGGGTTTTGCGTAAGTACAAGTTCAAATTAATGCTCTGGATTAATTGGTTTATGGAATATTTATGTAATATGTCTTATGATGATCGGAGAACATCACATCTCGGAAACATGTTAACAAACATTGTGTTTAATTTATTTATCTGATCACACATAGTTGTCTGTTCTCGACAGACGCGTGTTGTTCTCGTGCTGATAGTTAGAAAAAAACAATAATTTTGACGTTATGTTCATCATACGTACCTAAGGTTTGCGCAGTAGACTTATATGTTATATTATTATTATTATTATTATTTGTTTGTTTGTTTTATGTATTTTAATGTTTCACTTTTAGGAATATCATTTAGCCCATTTACTGTTAATTATTCTTAATAAATTAATGAATTGATATATTATCATTATTATATTGTACATTTATATATTTTGTTCATTATTTGTTTGTTTTTGTATTGTTATATTTATTGTTAGTGCTTGGCTGTTATTGGCCTCTTTTGGCTGTTGCCAAGCACTCTAATAAATTAATTGAATTGAATTATTATTATTATTATGCATACAAAACTGGAAACATGTGTGCACTTTGATACTACTTCTGAAAATCATATACGTCATTTCCTTATACGATGAAGTTAGAATTATTACACCTCAGTATTAGGCCACAAGCACGCTGTTTTCATCCCTCTCGGGACGTGGATTTCTGTTCTTATTTTTCTGTGTTTTATTGTGTCAAACGAGTGGAATTCTTGCTCTTCGCTAATTCCTATTAATGAATGTAACTCACGTGGCAGGAAGTTTCAAACCGAACGTTGCGGCTGAGTGGGTTCAAGTCTTGGTCACTGAAGTTTTTGTGGGTCTTCTCAGTTCCTCCAGTAGTTCTAGACTACCTCGAATTTGGCCACAACTGCTGTTTTTATCCTTTCCAGTTTAATATTCGTTAATCACCCTATCACTGAACGCTGTATTTTCTGAGTTATTGACGACGTAGTTAAATGTATCACATAATAATAAAACTCGAAATCTTTCAGCATCTCAGAGTTGATTCTGTGATGAAACAGGCCAGAATGCCTTTCAACAATAAAAACGTGAAGGAAGAAAAGGATCTATTGAGTATCGGCAGTTAATAGAACTTCACAACACGTGTTTCTTTACACGCGCAACAAAGAAACGATTAAATTTAGTATCAATTTTCTTAGCTTTTCTTGCCATAAATGTCCCCTTTTGTCTCTTTCATTTGAGAATGAGTCGATTTGGCACATTCTTGGACATCAGTTATAGCTGTAAGTGAAGTGACGACAGTATATTGACTGTCACCACAGTTACAACGCATGCTGCACCTGCTTGAACAGCATCCCGCACAACACCTTCCCTCTTTGTCACCGGACCTCGTGCGGCATAACTCGTACAAAGGAACCCCGCCTTAATGCAGTCTCTCAGTCTCTGATAGAGTGTGACAGCTGAACAATACGCCATTATTGTGAATCGCAAGAAAAAGACACCATAAATATGTAGGGCTTCGTTGATTCTTCTTCCTTTCTTCCAACCCTTTAGAAGTTTAATGAGGGCAAAAGTATAGCAATCGATTATGGAACAACCGTTCTCAATTGTTTCACGTCTTTTTACCATTGTTTTCTCACTAGCGCCATCTCTCGTCTGCTTTAAACGATGAGTGCAAGCAAGTTTTACGTATTAACTGGCTGACTGACAGACCTGACTGGCTGTCCAACAAGCTGGCTGTAATTTCAACACACTGCAAAATGTTTCGTGAAATTGTAGGTAGCTATGTTTATTATGTTTCCATTGATTTAATCGTCCATAGCTTAGCGATAATTATGTAGCCTATAAACAATCCTATAAGGTAAAAACATCTTTGAGTGTGGCCCTCAGAATGCATTTAAGTATGGGCTTGGTTGTCAGAATAAAGAGCAACAATTTCCCTCTTCCTCATCGTTATAGTTTGAACTGTGTTATGTCAGTTCGTGTAAGACTGCTCATGTGAATTCCAAGAAGGTAAATATGCATTTTCCTAAAGAACATTTTCATACTTTCATTTGTAACAAAAATGTGGTGTATTTTCTTGGAGGTAAGAACTGCGTTATTAAATATTAATTAGATGAGTTTTTACATTTAAAGGATTAGCATATAAGTTTAAAAAGTTAGACCTGTAGTGTAATGCGAATATATATATATATTGTTTTACATTCTAAAAATTATGAACTGAAGTTTAATATTTTTCAAACATCTATAACAACATAAAATTTAACAGTCTTTCATTACAGAACATGAATGTCTTTCCCGATTCAACAATTCACATGGCCTCCATTTTGGTTAAAATTAATTTAATGTGTAGTAGCTAAAAACTACAAATGAGGATAGGTCTGTAATGGTATTTCATCCGTATCAAATTTCGTGAAGAACTGTCAGTTGGTTGAAAAGTTATTAGAGGGAAGAGACAAACACGCACATACAAATCTCTCTTTCCTTTTGGGAAAGTAAGCATCCAGACAAATACGAACCGATTTTTTTTTTTTGTAGTAGCCATTGGATTGTGC